ATTCAGAAAAACGTCTGAGCCAATAAGTGCACGGAGAAGCGGAAGGCCGGACTCGGCAGCATGCAAAATGGTGTGTTTGTTGACATCTCTAGCGAACGCGTTCGCCCGCTGACTGCTCCCCGCTCCCCGCTCGCCGCCGTCTCTCATCGATCGATGCGTGACTCCACCTCTCGCTATCGATTTTTGAGAGATGTCAACAAACACACCATTTTGCATGCTGCCGAGTCCGGCCTTATTGGCTCAGACGTTTTTCTGAATTAGGCGATAATAATTACGATTTTGTAAAATTTTATATAACTTTTCTTCTCAGTTTAACCCAATCTACTATAATCTTTGGGGTCGTCCATATCGAATCTGACACCCTGTATATCATCCGTATATCAACAATGTACATAAATCAACGATCGTCTGTAATACGATTGTGCCTTGATTGAAAATAAAGAAGAAGAGAGAGCAAAGTATTTATATAACACGCTTAGCAGGAAACAGTTACAGGTTTAGTAGAAAACTATTATAATTAAGTGTGACGATGATAATTAAGATAAAGGTAATTGCATACGTAAAGATTACGTACGTACGTACATTATCTCATGACGCGAGGAAAATAGAAATAACATCTTTACATTGTCTCAGACGAGTATCCTTCGATTCAACTTGCACACATAGAAATGAAGTGTGCGCGTTATCGCATTGTCAAATGCAAATAGTCTCTCTTCTTCTTGACTTATAAAAGCGCGTCTCGCAATGCAACATTTCTCCAAAACGACGGAGAAACTGGAGAATACGAATGAGATATAGTGTTCAGTTATCCAATCGTAGCAGGAATATTATGGAATTGAATAACGCTGAGTGAATAAATAATATCGAAGTGGGTGTCCCAAGATATTGCGGATTTCATAATCTCATTCCATGATTAAATCTCGAATCGAGGAGAGAGCAGGAGAATACGTGTACTATTCCATTGCCTGTCTTATTGCAAAATTTAATATTGTGTAAAATACTTTGTGAAGATTTTGTTTAAACATAAAGAATTCTAAACATTGATGTGTAATCGAGTGTCAAAGGTGCTGATAATAAACTGCGGTGTCACTGAAACATTGCTGTTTCACCACGCAGAATCTCTCGAAGTGGCGAACGGTATGTACCAAAGGCGTGCATTTTCTAATTGTAAGTATTGGAAGTATTATATAGCGTCGCTTTTACCGAATTGAATAAAAGAACGATAATTTGTGGATTCGTTTAATCCATCACCTTTGGATGATTTATATGTAAGTAAAGATCAGTATCTCAATAAAAAGAAAATTATTTATGTAAATTATTATAATAAATTATTCATTTACTATAATCAACTATTTGATTTTGTTAGTGTAATGTCTAATATTTGCATCGCGGAGTATTCGATCATTAAATTAGAAAACTAATAAACAATATATTTAAAAACTTTTTAAATATTAAAAAAAATTATTATATGTCAAGCAGTAAATAATTGGAATTTCAATGAAACACAACAATAAAATATAACATAAAAGATTTGTTGCTGAATAATTTGATTTGTAAATCTATCTTTGAATGTTGACAAAATTTTTATTGAGATAACAAACTTTTACTGGTAATTTTTTATTGCTAACGTCAGTTTTGCCGAAATGTGTTCCCTGATATATGCACAATTAATTTAATCGTGGTTGAAAGTGCTTTGCGAGATATTTTTAATCAGTACTGAGAATACAGTAACGGTAAAAGCATTGTGAGTGCTACTTTTCTTCATGTGATATCTCAATATAGTCCCACTATACTTTAATAACGTTCTTAATATACTTGAAAATTTAAATATTCAAAGTGTTCACAAATTACGAGAATGGATTTAATATCTATGGCACTGTCGATTATTTCCATTATTCTAATTTTGGATGTTATTAACTTGATCGCAATCGAACTTATCTTTGACGATGATTTACATCAGCACTGAGAATACAGTAACAGTAACATTGCGAATGCTATTTTTCTTACTTAGTGTGATATCAATATAATTGATCCCACTGTAACAAATGGAAATACTTATTAGTAAAGTCGGAAAATAAACGCGAAGATAACATCTTTATACTGTTATTGCGATAAATATTACCACATGCTTCAATGGTCGTATTACGAAACTAACCGCTCCTTTGTGCACGAGCCACCTTAAGGTAATTTTAAATTAAGTGTTTACAGATTACGAGAATGGATTTCATCTCTTTGGCGCTGTACGCTCTTTGCATTGTTCTGATTTTCACAATTCTGCCGATAGTGTATCATCAATATGTTATTCGACAGAAACTTAAGAAAATTCCCCAAACCGGCGGATACCCTTTCATCGGCATAATATATGAATTAATGAATCTGTCAGATTACGGTAAAGAATTATATATTATAGTATACATATGCACGTATATACATGATTTTATTATTAATTTTTACAAGTGCCGTTCGCACATTATATTCGTGGATTTTAAATAAAGACGATTTGCTATTTAAAAATTTATTTAATAATTTATATAATTATTAAATTGTGATATAATAATAAATAATTCTACTTTCTAGAACGCATGAAATGGTTTCTGAGGGCTATGAACAATCATAAAGAAGGAATATTTGTACAATGGGTTGGAAGCAAGCCTTTTATTGTCGTGTATAAGCCAGAATATTTAGAGGTAAATAATAAAATCAATTTGCTAAAATATAATCCCTGTTATATTTTCTGCGATAGTTAATGTATTATACGTGCATTAGTAATTAACATTCTGAAAGATTGTCGTGAATTCTCTGCTAAAATTACATTTTTTTGCATCAATATACAACATTCTAGAGCATTTATAGCATCAAGTTTGCATTCATAAATTTATTTTTAAGAGCAATCTAAATGTAATAGTAGAAAAATAAGAGGAAACGAAAGATATTAATGCAACGAGATTTTTTATTGCTTTTGCCATGTATTTATATATGCGTAATCAAATATTGTTATATCACTAACGTGTATTGTAAATACATTTGCTTTGTTACTAAAGAGACGCTGGAAAATATCAAAGTTTTGCCGTGTAAATTGGTTTGGAAAAATTAAATTTTTTTCTAAAATACGATAGCTTATCTTCACCACACCTGATTTAACGTGGAATGTCTATCACTGCAGAATAAAGATTTATTAAGTTATAGCGAAATAATTTTAAGAAATTAATAAACAATTAACAGATTCAGCAAAACTGCTTTAGGTAAATGGAATTAGTAGTCATAATAAATCTTGATAACTGACCAAATTTGTTGCAATAGCATAAAATACTTTATGTCAGTAAAAAATACGTTATATCTTTTCTCTGAGTATTGTTGAAACATATCTTTTTACAGCCTATTTTTCCTAGTACTGTAAATATTACAAAAGGAGACCCTTATAATCTCTTGAGACCTTGGTTGGGCAACGGACTTCTGACCTCTACAGGTAAAGGCGCAACAAAATCTTCACATATCTTTTTTTTATTTCCCACTATATTTCTTAGTATTTGAGTCTGTAAAAACACCGGTAACATATTGTAGGGATGTTGTATATTTTCCTGTTTATCTAAACACATTTATGAGTTTTCGATCACAAACTGATTATATGTCTCGTTCGCGTGCCACAACATTGCATTTTTGCGAAACTCCTTGTTTCATTTAACTTGCTAATATCTAATACTGACATCTAGAAAAAAATAGACGCTATTGCTTACAAATTAAAACGTTAACGAAACCATGTTTTCATTTACTTAATTTTGAAGCTGTCTTTATCTTGTGTTTTTTACAACATGAATATATTACATTTTAATGATGTTTTAGGTAAACAGTGGTTCCACGACAGGAAACTTATCGGGCCAACGTTCCATTTCAGCATATTGGATCAATTTGCTGTGGTTTTATCCGAAAAAGCGGAGCTCCTAACAGAGTGTCTTGAAAGAGAGATAGAAACGGATTTAGGGAAAGCCGTTGATATTTTCCCTTTTGTTGTCAATGCTGCTCTTGATATTATTTGTGGTGATGTACCATATCTTTAATTTCAATATATAATATTTTTCAATATTTTCTACGAAAAAGTGAATATATATTTTACGCGGCAATTGATTTAATATAGTACGAAAAAATTTATAAATTAATTAAAATAGTAACTTAAATTCACTAATATTAATTTTGCGAAATCTACTAATTATTTCGCTACTTTAGCAAAAATTTTTGTCATGTCAAAGCAACAAGAATAAGAAGAACTATGAAAAAATTATTTTATTTAAATCGTAAATTCGAGTTTCCATGAGTAAGGTTATTTAGAGAAAAACTTTTTTCTAATTTTCTATTTTTCTATTTCAAAATAAAGGTTCGGCTGCAAAACCATTGTATTATTCACGAATAATGAATATTGAGTATAATTGTAGAATTATAAGTGCTGTGATAAAATGGTTATTATTATTAACAATATCAATTGTTATCTTGCAGAAACGGCAATGGGGGTAAATATACGTGCTCAAGAAACCGTGACGAAATATACTTCAACAGTACATACGTCAGTTTTCAAAAATTTTATACTGCTATTATTAATGAAACAGTTAACAGTTTGTTCTTAACACTATTACTTAATAGTTTTAAAAATCCACATAACTTTAATAATTACTTATATATGTAATTCAAATTAAATTCCAATCATATTTTTAGAGCCTCGAGATTAATAATGGATCGAATACTTCGGCCGTGGTATTGGATTGATTCGTTGTACTATTCACTGCCTGCAGGAAAGGAATATCAATCAACGCTTAATACATTACACGGATTCACTAAAGAAGTATGCTATAGAAATCTTAGTTAATATGTAATTAGAAGATTATAATAGAGATCGCGGAGTTACTGCTAATTTAATAGGCATCATCTGTTGTCCACCAAAGTTATTGCCCTTGGAGTGAAATCTGTTTAATGGAAAATTGATCGTTAAATCGTGTAATCGTTGCGAAAAAAGATTTGTGATTGAATTTGGGCGTTGAAAACATACTATCTCATAGTAGGTTTGCAACGTCCAAATTATATACATATATACATATATATTCCGTTTAAAAGAATTTCACGTTTATACAAGAAACACGATAAATTTTAGGTGATAAGTAAAAAAAAAGCCGAACGACAATCACAAAGCTACACAGAACTCCAAAATGAAGACGATGAATTTAACATAGGTAACACATAGATAAATTATACTTATGTGATACATTATGCATATTCCTGCTAGCGCTTAATGTTTCTTAGCTAAGAAAATTTGTTGTATCAGGTAAGAGGCAGAGGAAAGCGTTCCTGGATCTATTATTAGAACAGAATGCGAAAGACGACACTCCCTTGACTGATGATGAGTTGAGAGCTCAAGTCGACACGTTCATGTTTGAGGTGAAATATCTGAAGTTCTTAATATAAATTCTCTCATTAGTTCAGTCACGAATTTATATAAAATGATATTATTATATCATATGTAAATTGTAATAGGGACACGACACAACTGCGGTTGCGATAACTTGGGCACTGTTTCTTTTGGGCAATAATCTCGAGCATCAAGAAAAAGTTCATGAAGAACTCGAGGAGGTTTTCAGAGATTCGGACGCGCCAGCCAGTGTTAAGGAGTTGTCGCAATTGAAGTATCTCGACAGAGTCATAAAGGAGACACTGCGAATATTTCCAAGTGTACCTTTAATCTCGAGGGAATTAACCGAAGAAGTAAAATTAGGTGAAACGTAACTTTACTTGTCTAAGAAATCGCTAACATATAACTTTGTTTATTGAACTGTTTATAATTTTAAAAGTTTCGTTTTTTACCATAAAGACATTTATATTGGCCAAAGTTAATATGTTTTACCAGCAATGTATTTTGCCAAATACCATATAATGTATTTTAATATATTTCTATTGCGTTGCAGATAATTATACAATTCCGAAAGGTGTCAATGTCACGCTGGCAATTCAATTAATCCATCGAAATCCGCAGGTTTGGCCGGATCCAACCAAGTTCGATCCGGATCGCTTTCTTCCAGAAAACTCAAAGAACAGGAACCCGTATGCCTACGTTCCGTTCAGCGCTGGACCGAGAAACTGCATAGGCCAAAGATTCGCTCTACTTGAAGAAAAAATCGTATTGACTGCTATTCTGAGAAAGTGGAGGGTGAGAAGCGCGAAAACATTTGAAGCAATTAAGTACGGCGGCTCTCTCATTTTGAGACCAAGCGAGGGAGTATACATGTACCTCACTCCAAAGAAATGAACAGTTTCCTAAAAAATATAATATATATGGACTTATTTATAATGCAACCTTAATAATCAATTACAAAATTATTATTGTTGAGAATGGACTGTCCCGCCGTAATCCTCTTACTAATTGCTTTTTACTTTCATATACAGATGGCACACATCTCACTGTTGTCTTTTGGTTATGTTAGTCTCGCTTCTACTACTGTGCGTACTGGCTTGTATGTGTGCCACACGTTTTTCTGTAACTCTTGCCTTTTTCTATTAAATCTTCAAGTATTTTTCACTTACACGTGTCTTTGAACAAGCTCATTCGAATCCTCATTCCCAACAATTATATTTCGCTTATGTTTTAGTTTACCTTTAGACAATAATTGACAGATTTCTTTTTAATTATTATTTTCCACATTGCCCGTGTCTATTTGGACTATGATACATCTATATGTTCTCTGAGTATCATATGTGTTAAAACACTTAAAACACCGATATTAAAAACTTGGCGCTGCTTAACCAAATGTTAGTTGCGCTCTACCTCCTTCCTTACAAAAATGTTAAACTCTTTCTTTCTTTTATGCATACGTGTGCATGTACGCGTGCGCGTGTGGGTCATGAATTAAGGATTAGAATTAATTGTAAGTTCAGATTGGATATTTCAGCGGTATAGCAGCGCTAAGCTTTTTAAATAAACAATGATGTCATGAATCAGGATCGATATGTATCCCACAATTAAATTAGAGAAGGCGATCTTTTAATAAAACATTTATTTCTATTAAATTTGTTTGCATTAAATTTTTATTGAATATAAGTATTAAAAATTTGTCTCATTAATATTATTTTCTCTATTTTATGCTCGATTGTTTGGATATAACATTTTAATATGAAAAATAATAAAGTACCTAGTTTGTATAATTCTTCAGTTTAGTTGGCGCCGTGTGATAATATCATTCCTTTTGTAGAGAAGATACTTTGGGGGGAGGGGGGAGAGAAGATAAAAATGTTTTTTCTAATAAAAGATATCCAAATAATTAAATAATTAAATAATATAATTTTTTATTGGATGACGCTTATACTTGGCGTCTTTTTAACATTTTTTTTATTAAAAACGTTATATATTTTATATGGTAACTAGTTTTATACAGATATTATTTTATCCAAAGGAAGAATATAATAAAAATGAAAAATTAGTAACAAAAAGTAACTTAAATTTAATACTAATATATAGTCTGCGAAATTTGCAAATTATTTCGCTACATTAGCAAAAATTCGTATTATGTTAACCCAATAAAAATAAAGTGTCAGAGAGAGACAATTTTAGTTCAACAGAAAATTCGAATTCTTACAAGCAAAGTTTTTTAAGAGGATTTATCTATTTCATCAGCCAAAAAATCTTGCTTTAATATTATTGTACTATTTACGAGGAATAATTTAGTTTAATTTTAGCATTATAAGCGATGTGGGAGAGAATTATTTAAAATAGTACTTATTATCTTGCAGAAACGGCACGTGCGTGAGTGTGTGTGTGTGTGTGTTCAATCCGTACCGACCGTTGCGGGAGGGGGCAGGTGACCTTGTAAATGAAAATGGTAGTTTATTTATGATTTTAAAGGTAGCTACACAGGCATTTTAATAAAAATTACTAAGAAAAAGTATTAAAATTTTTAGTTTTCAATTTGTTATATCTCCTAAACCAATGCCGTCCCCCACTTGATTCTTGCGGGGAATTACTCAGAAAACTCTCCCCTACAACATATCTAAGTGGCGAGGAAATCGGTGAGGTGTGACCTTTTCTGCATATTTACCGGAATTTCAATCAGTTTTTAATCAATTGCATGGATTTACGAATAGGGTATGCTCCAAAAGCTCTAGTGAAGTTTACAACATTACAAATAGATGTTTACAAATAGTTTCACTGAATTTTTAATATTAAATATTTCTTTAAACAAGTTTATTTTTACAACAAAAACGATAAATTTTAGGTGATAGGTAAGAAAAAGGCTGAACGACAACCGCACAACCGCACAGAACTCGAAAACGAAGATGTTGAATTTAACATAGGTGTGAATTATAAATTATAATTACACAATACATTATGCATATTTCAGCTGTCATTTAAATATTTCTTATCTAAGAAAATGTGCTGTATTAGGTAAAAAGAAGAGGAAAGCGTTCCTAGATCTATTGTTAGAGCAGAATGCCAAAGCTGACACTCCTTTGACCGATAATGAGTTGAGAGCACACGTTGACACATTCATGTTTGCCGTAAGATATCCGAGATTTTTAATGTATATTTTCCGCTAACTAACTCGGTATCTATGTATATCATATGTAAATTATGTGTGAATAATAACAAGGACACGACACAACTGCGGTTGCGATAACCTGGGCATTTTTTCTTTTGGGCAATAATCTCGAGCAGGAAGTTCGAAAAAAGTTCACGAAGAACTCGAGGAGTTTTTCAGAGATTCTCAAGCACCAACTACTGTAAAAAAATTGTCACAACTAAAGTATCTCGACAGAGTTATAAAGGAGACCCTCCGATTATTTCCAAGTGCACCTTTCGTCGCAAGGGAATTATTGGAAGAAGTAAAACTGGGTAAAACACAATTTTACTTGAACTGCCTAAAAATAAATTTAAAAAAATTTCTAACATATAACTTCATTTATTAATAATGACCAAGCGTCTAACCGACCATGACTGGCGATGTGTTTTTAACACAGAAAATTTATTGCGAAAAGTATTACATCAGCGTTTAAACCAGGGTTTAAACCTGGATCTCCTTACGCTCTAGGCGGGTGTCTCACCAATTCGGCCACCGAGGCATATGATAATATTTGTCGCAATAACTGTATAGATGTTGTCTACGCGTATATTTTCGACCTGTGAACTGCGCACAAATACGGGTTGTCGGTTGTGCACAGCAGTATCGAAACGCGATTTTTAAATATCCCCGTTCCCTTCCCTCCCCACACTTTGTCCCCATTATTCGATCTAGGTGTATAAATAACATCAAAAATTATTTGATGCCAGCAAATAACTAACAATGATCAAGCTTCTAATCGGTAAAGGTGGGTAATCTTTCGTGAACATGTAGAGCAGATAAAACTAATTAACCGAAAGTACTCAGTGTTTTTACACTTTGGTAATGATGTATTTGTCTTTAAATTAGAAATTTTTGAAACATTTTTTTAAATACCTTTTATACCACTCTTTAGATTTTAATAGGTACAGGGCTTTTCTGTTTGCCTTAGTCCCCTCTACCTTCACGTGAACGGCGGTCACAAAAGTTTCGGAGCACCCTGCATATGTATTTTATTGACTTCATCGCAATCGCTAGTATCTTTACGTGATATTTTTATTCAGTACTGAGAATACAGTAACGGTGACAACATTGCAGACGCTGTTTTGCTTCGTGTGATATTAATATAATCGATCCTATAACAAATTTAATTTGCTTGATAAGTGAAACTACTTGAGGTGTTCACAGATTACAAGAATGGATTTCATCTCTTTAGCACTGTGGACTCTTTGCGTTGTTCTGATTTTCACAATTTTGTCGATAGTGCATCATCAATATAACATTCGACAGAAATTTAAAAATTTTCCACAAATCGGCGGATATCCTTTTATCGGCACGATATTTGAGCACATAAATATGTCGAAGTACGGTAAAGAACTTTACAAATATAAAGAATTGATCATTATTGTTTTATAAGCCAATCGTTTATTATATTCGTAGGCGGATTAAATTAAAAACAGTTTGCTATGTGAATTTACATATATAATAATTAGATTATGATAAAATTAATAAATTTTAATATATAATTACGTAATTAATAATTGCAATTACTAGAACGCCTAAAATGGATTGTATCGTTCATGTACAAGTGTAAGGAAGGAATATACGTACAATGGCTTGGAGCCAGGCCTTTTATTGATGTGTTTAAGCCAGAATATTTACAGGTAAACAATAAAATTAATTTGCTAAAATACAATATGCGTTATATTTTCTACGGTTCTTAATATATGTATTGAATAGTAATCTATTCTAAAGATTGTCATCATTATTGTGATGACATCATCTTTTTATGTAACGGCATTCTAAAGCATTCTAGAGCATTCGTAGCGTCAAGCGTGCATTCATAAAATTTTTAAGTAAAATTGCAATATAATAATAGACATCAGACGAAAGGGAAAGATTACTTTATCTTTACCAAATGACTTAATGTTGAAAAAATTTGTCGCTGTAAAAAAAATTTATTAATTATAGCGATATGATTTTTTTAAAATTTAATAAATAAATGACAGATTTAAAATAACTGTTTTTGGGAATTAGTAGTCATAATAAATCTTCATAATGATCAGATTTATTGCAATAGCATAATATATTAAATCTTATATTAGTAATAATATGCTATATCTTTTTTTTAAATATTGTATTCTATCTTTTTCAAATATTTACAGCATATTTTTCCTAGCACTGTCAACATTGAAAAAGCAGATACTTATAATTTCTTAAAACCTTGGTTGGGCAACGGACTTGTAACTGCTACAGGTACACGCAAACGACGCAAAAATTCTTCATATATATTTTTTTTATCTTTCATTATATTCCTTGGTATATACCATATATAATATACAGAGTTAACGAATACCTGTAAAAAAACTTCTAGGGCATGCAGGGGGTTCAAAGTAGATCAACTTTTAATAAGAAACTCGTATTCGGAAACGCACCGTTTATGAACTGCGGCCTGGCACTGTTGGTATTTCAGTAATGGGAATAATTTTTATAATAACTTTATTTGCTTACATTACATCACCAGAATGTTTAGCAATGTCAAGACTGGCTATTCATTAACATCTTGTATACAGAGTGGGCAAAAGTTCCGGAACGGCTAAATATCTCAAAAATTGTCAAATTATTAAAAAAATGTTTCAAACAAGAAGCGTATAACTTATGAAAATTTATTAGCTGATAGTATTTATTTGGCCTTGAGATTACCTTGAAAATCCCGGTCAAAGTCAATATAAAAATGTTAAATGAAAACTCCCATATTTCTTTATGAAAAAAGTCATCATATAAATTTACAAAAGTAAAAGGGGCCACACTAAAGCACTCATACTAACCGCTCCTTCGTGCAGGAGTCACCTGTGATATAACAACACCATGTATGCTTTTATTTAATTTTGTAGCTTTTTCTTGCAATTTTCACAACGCAACTATATCATATCTTAATATTGTTTCAGGAAAGCAGTGGTTCCACGATAGAAAAATCATCGGACCAACGTTTCACTTTAGTATATTAGATCAATTTGCTGTGGTTATATCTGAAAAAGCAGAGATCCTAATAAAGTGTCTCGAAAGAAAGATAGAAAAAGATCTAGGGAAAGCCATTGATATTTACCCTTTTGTTACTAATGCTGCTCTCGATATTATTTGTGGTAACGTACTATAGTTTTTTAATATGTATATTTATAATTCCAATATTTTCTGTGAAAAAGCATCTATTATACTCTCCGCGGCAACTAATTAATTTTATGAAGATAATATTTATGTGATAAGAAAGTGATTTGAGAAATTTAGTAATTTTATTATAACTTACTTGAAGAGTAAGAATAAAAATTATAAATTAAGGAAAAAAGTCATTCAAATTTACTAATATACAGGGTGTCAGATTCGATATGGACGACCCCAAAGATTATAGTAGATTGGGTTAAACTGAGAAGAAAAGTTATATAAAATTTTACAAAATCGTAATTATTATCGGCCTAA